ATTAAATAATGTAGCCCTTGAAATGGAAAACCTTAAAATTGATGTCCTAGGTATAAGTGATGTTCAGTGGCCAGGATCAGGAAAATGCACAAATAACAGTGGAACACTTTATTATTCAGGCACCATCAGTTCAACTCATCGTTACGGTGTCGCTGTCTTGGTATCAAAGAAAATCCGTAACTGTGTAACAAGCTTTACTCCCTTCTCTGATAGAATAATGACACTACAACTTCAGTCAAATAAACAAATTATAAATATTATACAAGTATATGCTCCTACGGCTGATAAAGATGATGATGAAATTGAAAGTTTCTATTACGATCTGGAACAAATTCTAAAATCAATGAAGAAACATCATACTACAGTAGTAATGGGCGATTTTAATGCCAAAATTGGACATGGATGTGTGGACGGTTATGTGGGTGACTATGGATTTCGGTCGATTTTCGATCTGCAATATCACCACAAAACGGACATCTTGTTATGTGTGTGGCACGAAGGTGTAGCTCAACTAGGAGCTGATGAGATCACATCTTGCTTATTTCAGGTTATTAAAGACTTGGCAGAACAGATAGAAAAACTAGTCCTCTATTCTGATACGTGCTCAGCTCAAAACCGAAATAATATATTACCGATCTTTTTTTTTAAAAGCACTTGAAGAAAACGAAACTCTAAAAGAAATTCATCATAAGTTCCTAGTTCCTGGTCATACTCATTTAGAATGTGATACAGACCATGCTACCATAGAGAGATTTGTGAAAAAAAGAAACGCCGCAATTTAAGTTGCACAGGACTGGGTATCAGTAAATAAATCGTTGAGCCCTCGTTTTAACGTAAAATTTATGAAACAAACTGACTTTTTCGCATTTTGCAAACTTCTAACAACGCATTTTATAAAAGGAAATGTCGATTAAGATAAAAATTATTTTGTTTAAAACAGCGTATTTTGGCTACATTACAAAAAGAATAGTAATATAGGCTTCAAATACATATTAGATCCCAATGAACTGTTTCACTAAGATGTCCATGCTAAGCAGAGGCAGGTCAACTTCGATGTCTAATATTCAGATACTTCCAGCTTATATTCTCTACCCATAGACTATTTGAAATATAAAGATATTATCGACCTACTACGCTTTATAGATCCAATCTATCATGGATTTTACCATTCGCTTAAACACACTCAAACCAGTACCACACAATATACAAGCGACAGTGATGAAAATTTCGACGAGTAAGTTTTAATTTGGTACAAGTAAAGCCACATATTTCCACAAAACTGTTTTCCAATTCAAATAAATTGACTAATAATAGTTTAAGTTCTCTCCTCTTGGACGGTTATCTCCATTAAAATATTTTTTTAATCTCCATATTTTTGATACAAATATGATATGTGCCATTCTATCAAAATCTGAAATGTTAAAACATCACAGAGTTTACAGCAGATGTTTGGTTGTTTTGAAAAACCTATTAGGTTTATTGAAACGGAAAAAGGCTTTAAACGTTTTAGATTGTTTGTTATGGGGAAGTTTAAGTCTAATGGTTTTTAAGCATGGTTCAAATGCGTTGCATTTGTTGCCAAAACTCAAAACTGAAATTTCGTGCTATAGGTTCTGAAGGTTAGTTAGTAATAGAAATTTTATAGTGGCCAATCAGTAAAAGGGATAGATTGTATTGATCTCATGAGAATAATAAAAAATGGCAAAAATTGCGCTACCTTTATATATTTAACATCTTTACAAAATTTAAGTTTATTTTGCAGCAAAATACAAAAACTGCATACGAAAGTTGAACTCTTAACCTTTCATACGCATCTTGATTTTGTCGATAGGACACTTGGATCAAAAGATATCGCAATTTTACTGTCGAGCTCATACAAATTTTATTAAACATTGATTTCGCGCAAGTAACTGACATTCAAAATCGACGATCGCTTCAAGCGTTGTTTCTGAGAGAACGGTTCATTTTAAATAAATAGTTCTAATAAATATTTTAGTTTAAAATTATCTCGGCTACACTTTTTATTTGAAACATTTTTTTTTACAACGTACAGATTCTTCGTAAATCGATTTTCTTGCGTTTTCACCTCGTTACGAGGAGAGTTTTGGGGAAAGCCTGGGATAAAAGAGGTAAACTTTTGCATCTTTTAAGGTCCCGAGATTAATATTTATCTTGTTCGTATGATTTTTAGAGGTTAAATTGCTTTTTCCTATCTGAGGACTGGAGTATCATAAATTATGTCTTTAGCACACACCTGATAACATAATTTCCAGAAAAAATTATACTAGAGATTTTATTGGATAAATAAATTTATCACTGTTTGGGAGATCGTCGAATTAATTTGTGCCAGAGATTACTTTTTCTTTATATTTATTTTATAATTATTGTAGCTGATAAAAGTATTAGATACCGTTAATACTTTAACAAAACCACATGGCATAAATTAAGCTTATTCGTATTGGGTTGAATATTGGTTTTGGTCCAATTCATATGTGTCTGGTAGGTACAGGTAATTTGTATCACTGCTTTATTTAGTATGATATTTAATGAGATGTGCTGAACAGCAGTTATTTCTCCAAGAAAACGGTAAAACTTCACTTCTTTAAATTGTGTTACAATTTTTTGTGTTTTTGAAAACCGTCGCAATATTTAAACCCTAATTATATCTTTATTTACAATTTATAGCAAGAATAAAAAAATGTCTATGTTTTCACAGAGCGTATAGGTTTCAGGTCTGAAGATTGCTAATAAACAAAAGCGAAAACAACAAAAAATTAGCGCTAAATCACAAGATATGCTAAAAAACGACGGCAACTCCTGAATGATAACAAAAGAAATACAGTGGAGTTTACCGAACTGAACAAAACCATAAGAAAATAGATAAAGGAAGATTTAAAGAAATACCAACAAAATCGCATTAAGAAAATCATAGAGAAGAACAAAAGTTTAAAAACAATGAAGACAAATATAGGAAAAAGAAAACTAATCATGCTTAAATCTGAGAACAATGAAGAAAGAGATCTAGGAGAAATAGTAAAAATCACAGAAAGATATTACACAGACCTATACAGTTCTAAAAATGACCCACCACTATCATCTAAACAGAATCTCTCGAGGAAAATACAAAATGTTGGCTTAGAGATATTACCAGAAATAACTGAAGATAAAATGGAAAAATCCATAAACGACATGAAAAGAAATAAAGCGGGCGGTGAGGACAAAATACTGGCGGAACTGCTAAAAGAAGGAGGAGACGCGATAAAAAAAATGCTAAAAATACTGTTCAGCAAATGTCTGTTTGAAGGTTAAATACCTAAACAATGGAGAAATGTGAACACAGTCTTAATACATAAGAAAGGAGACCGAACAGACCTAAACAACTACCGTCCTATTTCCCTTTTGTCACAACTATATAAAACCTTCACAAGAATAATAAACAACCGACTAACCTATAAACTTAATAACTATCAACCAGTGGAACAGGCCGGATTCAGGAAAGCATACAGCACAATCGACCATCTACATGCGCTTAAAATCGTAATTGAGAAAACCAATAAATACAACCTTCCGCTGTACTTAGCATTCGTAGATTATGAAAAGGCTTTCGACAGCATTGAACACTGGGCGGTTGAAAAAGCTCTGGTCAATAGTAGAATAGATTCAAGATACCGACAATTGATACATGATATTTACCAAAACGCAAGATGACCGTAATTCTGGACGACAAATTAATAACGGATAATATAAAAGTTAAACGAGGAGGAGTCCGACAAGGCGATATAATTTCACCTAAACTGGTTACCTTAACCCTCGAGATATAATAAAGCAACAGATTGGGAAAACAGAGAAATATGTATTAACGAAAAGTACCTAAATCACCTTAGATATGCAAATGATAGACCCCTGATCTCATCGGAACGACAAGAACTGGAATTAATGCTGAATGAACTTTATGAAAAATCACTGCAAAAAGGCCTAAAAATCAACTTCAACAAAACAAAAGTAATAACAAACACGGAAGACCAAGAGGCAATAAAAATACAAACAGAAAAAATAGAACAGGTAAATGAGTACATCTATCTAGGACAAACAATCAGAGCTAACAGAGAAAATCAAACAGCCGAAATATCGAGACGAGTAAGAATGGGATAGGCAGCATTCGGCAAACTTTCTTAAGTTCTAAAAAATCAAACAATCCCTCTATACTTACAAACCAAGGTATGTATAATACCGGTGCTCACCTACGAAGTACAAACATAGACATTTACACAGGCCAATTTGAATAGCATAAGGAAGGCACAAAGAGCGATGAAGAGACAAATGTTGGGTATATCACTTAAAGATAGAAAACGTAGCCAGTGGATCAGGACCAGAACAAAGACAGTAGACGCGATAGAACAAGCAGCAAAACTGAAATGGAATTGGGCTGGACATAATGAACGTCTCCAAGACGGACGATGGAACAATGCCATCGGAAAGTGGCGTCCATACAATGCAAAGAGATCAAGAGGCAGACCACAGATGAGCTGGAAAGATGACATCAGGAAACAAGGAGGTCCTACATGGCAGAGAACAGCTCAATATGGGGAAAGATGGAGAGAACTGGGGGAGACCTATATCCAACAATGGAAGAATAGAGAATATGTTAAAAAAAAGGTTTCATGCAGCCTTGCTTATAGACTTCGAAACCGTTAATGTTTAAACAAGAGGAGCAATCATTGCAGGTTTAATAATGCCAAAATGTTTTTTTTTTAATTTCAAGCGTTTTTGACTGAACACAAATCGAATTTTAATTTGAAAAAGATCTTTAAATTATACAGATCTCGACGGCAAATAGATTTTTGAGTATGTAAAAAGTGTTCCTATTACTCTCAAAAGCATAAGTATAAATTTATGGTTTTTGTAAAAGAAATTCATGTCATATTTTTCAAATAAAAAGAAACTATCAATGCTTTCAGTAAATTAACACTTCCAACAAGATACATAGCTAACTAACATACCTGATAATAACACCACTGAGTATTTTTCGCGTCTAGTCGATACCACAATTACCTTGATAACACTAATACACACGTTAAACCAGTGTTTTCCAAGAAGCCTTAGTTTTGCTCGTATTTAATTTGGATTTAATGACAAAATATTCGAGTACGACAAACCATTAAACCGATATGATAGCGCGAGTGACACTATCAGCTTGATATTAAACAACATGTAGGAAGATGGCATATGCAAATAAACCTATCGGAAAATGATTACTCTTGGGAATAGTACTATATTGTTTGTACTAGAACGCAAATAGGTTTGATAAGAAAATATAGTAACAATTATGGAATTTTGTTTACGATTTTCGTTAAATTTAATATTCTTTTAGTAAAATTATTTATGTAATTGTATAATTGACACCAAATATAAAAATTATATTTATTTATTTTGATTACAATTTACACACGTGCACCATGACGATAATATGCTGAATGTCATTTCAACCATTTTACCATGATGATAAAGTCAGTCTTCTTGATTTATTCTGTACATCATAGAAGGTGTATAGTGATTATGAATGCACTCACAAAATATTTATTCAGTAGTTTTTCTACTGCATCAGTCTATCGATTGGTGATAGCCTTCTACTTCCCTTTCTCTCTATAGTTTTTCCCTTTAGTTTTCTTTGGACCATTCATCATCATGAGTTTGCGCTACAGTCCTTCGTGAGCTCTGGTCTGCCTTAAAACACTCTTCCATTCTTCCCTGTCGAGTGTCTGTCGTCTCCATACACTTCCTCCAATATTCCTTAAATCATCCTGTACATCGTCCAGATATCTGAGTTTAGGTCACCTCCTTCTTCTTCACATCATGCATCATCAAAACGTCTCTATATTTCGAAATTATCTCACCTTCTCCACACGCCCTGTTCTTTATCTCTGCCATATATGGTCCTTAATACCTTTCAAAGATTTGTAGTTCGAGCCGTTTCCGATGTGTAAGTGAGCACAGGGCGTTATCATCCGTAAATGAGATGAAATATAATAAATAATAGCAAATATATCAAAATGAAAGAAGCAGAGCCTGTATATAGTTTTGAAAAAGTGACATCATTTGAATACTTAGTAGAAACCCAAATGAACACAGTAAAAAAAGTAAAAGACATAGACAAAAGATAAATGAAAGGGGACAGGGAAGTAGGGTCAAATTCAATACTAAAAGCGAAAAATATGTTAAAAACATCTAAACTATATTAAGAGACAGAGTAATCATATCTTCGGAGATATATGCCATCAAAACGTGGAATATAAACCAACAGGAAAACAAGAAAGCAGAGGTGATGGGAGAGAAAGGTGCTCAGAAAAAAATCTCCGAGAAATACAGATGACTTGGTCATATTATTCGAATGCCAGAAAACGTAAATGTTTAAACAGTACTAAAAGGTGAACAAGTGGTCAAATATGCATATCTGGTAACAACGATAAACTCCACAAATGATTACATTCAGGATATCAAAATCAGAATAGAATGTAATCTTTATGTGAACCTTTAATGTGACATCAATGAAAAAACTAGAATCATTCGAGCTGTGGGTGTACAGAAGAATTCTGAAAAAATCGTGGACAGAACACGTCACAAACAAAGAGGTTCTGACAAGGATGAATAAATAAATGAAAATTTTAAATACAATTAAAGGAAGGAAATTGGAATATCTCGGACATATTACACGTGGAGAGAAATACAGCTTCCTCCAACTGATTATGCAGGGAAAGATCCAAGAAAAGAGAAGCATAAGAAGGCGTAGAATGTCATGGCTGCGCAACCTGAGAGAGTGGTACGGATATACATCAAATGAACTTTTCAGAGCAGCCGTCTCAAGAGTCCGAATAGCTATGATGATTGCCGACCTCTGCCGGGGAGATGGCACTTGAAGAATAAGAAAATAGGTAGAAATAAAAAAAAAACAACAGGACGTTCAAAGAAGAAATATTTGGATGCAGTAAAGCAAGGCTTGTCAGAAGTAGGCGTTAGAGATTACAACAGAGAAAAAGCAAAAAATGTGTTATGCCGAAAAAAAAGTCCTGAGCGAACTTTTACTTTAAAAAATCTGAAAAAATTGACGAGCATACATTTTAATGTCTAAAAACCGTCTGATTTTTTCAGATTTTTTGTGTCAAAATTGAGCTCGGGGAAAATATTTTAAATTAAAAAAAAAAAAAATTTCTGGCTTTTTTCCGATATTTGGAATGGCGAGGTTAGATTTTCTAGTTTCGCTCCGGAAAATCTTCAAAATTCGAAAAAACTCTTGTTTGATGTTTTCCCTGATTTTAGCACATAATCTCAACTGTATGTCAATAAATAAAGATTTTTAGTATATATTTTTTTGTATAACAATAAAACACTGAAAACTTTGTTTTCAAACTTCTACAAAATTTATTTTTAAATATTATCACTACAGCTGTTTCGGCTGATTGCCTTTCTCAAGTGATCTATTTTGGCTTGGGTTTACAAATTTATAGTCTCTAATGAAATAGGTTGAGGAGGGGAGAACTGTTTGTCGCAAGTTGGTCATTCAGAATTATATCTGTGTTTTTTAATTTGTTGATTTCCATAGATTCTAACAAAGGCCTTTATTTTGAATGTGAAGAATTTTAAATTTGTCATTAAAAGAATGATTATGATCTAGAAGGTGAAGTGCGTATGTCGAATCTGTTTTTCTATTCTTAAAAGCCCTTTTATGTTCTGCTATTCGTTTATCAAAGTTTCTACCAGTTTGACCGATGTAAGTTTTTGGACAGTCGCCACATTCAAGTTTGTACACACCACTATTTAAGTGTTTTTTATTTTGGCTCTTGTTATTTTTAATATATTTGCCTAGGTTGTTATTTGTTCGGAAAGCTGGTGTTATTCCTTTCTTTTTTATGTGTTTGGCAACTTTTGTTGTTATTTTGCCTGTATATGTAATCGAGCAGAAGGTACTGAGTTTTTTCTCTGGTGGTGGAAATACTAATTTCAGGGCTTTCTTGTGTAGTTTTTGATTTAACATTTTATTAATTGTTTGTTCGTTGTATCCGTTGTTTACTGCTATCTGCTTAATTATATTTAATTCTGTCTCAAAGTTGTATTTTGACATCGGAATTTCTGTTAATCTATGTAACATACTATGATAAGCTGCCAGTTTATGTTGTGTCGGATGGGATGACGAATTGTGTATAGTCGTGTCAGTATGGGTAGGTTTATGAAATATGGAGAAGTAATGTTTGTTTTGAAGTCTGCTAATTTTTAAATCTAAAAAATTTATGGATTGATTTTGTTCTGTTTCTATTGTAAATTCAATATGAATATGAAGTGAATTAATATATGATAAAAATTGGTCCAGTTGCCTGTTAGTTCCTGTGAAACATACCAGTACGTCGTCTACGTATCTCCACCAATATAAAAACTGTTTGAATACGGGATGTTTTGAAATCTTTGTCTCTAGATGATCCATAAAAATATCTGATAGCAATGGGCTTAGAGGATTACCCATTATAAGTCCTGCACTGTTATTTGTATAAATTTTATTATTAAATTCAAAGTAGTCCTGGTTTATGCAAACCTCAAGAAGATGTAAAATTTCAGATGTAATTATTGGATTTGTACTATTTTGGTATAAATACAAACGGATACAACGAACAAACAATTAATAAAATGTTAAATCAAAAACTACACAAGAAAGCCCTGAAATTAGTATTTCCACCACCAGAGAAAAAACTCAGTACCTTCTGCTCGATTACATATACAGGCAAAATAACAACAAAAATTGCCAAACACATAAAAAAGAAAGGAATAACACCAGCTTTCCGAACAAATAACAACCTAGGCAAATATATTAAAAATAACAAGAGCCAAAATAAAAACCACTTAAATAGTGGTGTGTACAAATTTGAATGTGGCGACTGTCCAAAAACTTACATCGGTCAAACTGGTAGAAACTTTGATAAACGAATAGCAGAACATAAAAGGGCTTTCAAGAATAGAAAAACAGATTCGACATACGCACTTCACCTTCTAGATCATAATCACAGATATAATTCTGAATGACCAACTTGAGATAAACAGTTCTCCCCTCCTCAACCTATTTCATTAGAGACTATAAATTTGTAAACCCAAGCCAAAATAGACACTTTCGATCGAGACGCTGAGTGAGCAGGTCACTGGTAACATAACCGCTCCGGAACAGCGTCACACCGAAAGGTTTGAGAGAGCTTCGCTCTGAAAATAGCAGCGCACAGATTGTCTATAGGAGAAGGTCGGCCGAACAACCAACGAGGCCTGGCGTTGGCTTCAAACTTAATTAGTACGGGGTTTCAGTAGAATATACTGGCCCCAGAATTTTATTTTTGACGTCTTAAACGCTTGCAGGAACAAGTGCCAGTACGCCGACCGAAATTCTCCGTGTACAGACGTACAACGAGGGACCCTTTAGCAGCGTGGTAACGCGCTGGTGAGTATAGCCATTATCAAATACTGTATAGAGCACGACAGTAGAACAAGCCTTTTTTTCGGGGGGTTTATACAGCCCCCTGGCTCCGTGAGGCTGCGGAGTCCATCTGTCGGTCTGCTTTATACCGTTCTATTCCCCTCGATATGCCTGGATCAGCCAGATCAGCCTATGCCCCCCTCCTGCACGACCACGAGACCGAAAGCATCCAATCCGAAATTCCCGAGAGGTCCTATGACCCGTATGCCTTGGCACCCGAACTCATAGGCCTCAACTCTGAAATCATCGCCCTAACGGCTAGATACAACCTCGTTCGAAATGAAATCGAACAAAACGATTCGAACCACCCTCTCCTCAAAAAGCTAGATAGCGACTATCAGCGCCCAAAAACTCGGACTTTCCTCCACTTTCTTCCTCACATAGGAAGCTATCAATCTCCAGCAAACGTAACACGCAACCCTCAAAATCCAACAACAATCAAACCCAATCCACCTCAAAAACCAACCAACCCAGCACCTCCAACCCAAATACTTCCCGACAATCTAAACCCCTAAGCAATCCTAGAAACATTCCTCAACAACCAGCACAGCAATCAACTCAATCGTTCGCTGCCGCACTTAAGGCACCCTCTACCTCCAGACCCGAACAAACCCAAACATCACTAACGCCATCAACAATCCTAAAACATTCGAATATCTTGT